CAACATGTTCTCTTCCTCTGCCTCTCTGTCCAGTAGTCACAACATGTTCTCTTCCTCTGCCTCTCTGTCCAGTAGTCACATCATGTTCTCTTCCTCTGCCTCTCTGTCCAGTAGTCACAACATGTTCTCTTCCTCTGCCTCTCTGTCCAGTAGTCACAACATGTTCTCTTCCTCTGCCTCTCTGTCCAGTAGTCACAACATGTTCTCTTCCTCTGCCTCTCTGTCCAGTAGTCACAACATGTTCTCTTCCTCTGCCTCTCTGTCCAGTAGTCACAACAAGCTCTCTTCCTCTGCCTCTCTGTCCAGTAGTCACAACATGTTCTCTTCCTCTGCCTCTCTGTCCAGTAGTCACAACATGTTCTCTTCCTCTGCCTCTCTGTCCAGTAGTCACAACATGTTCCAGTTTCATTTTTCTTATAACAGGACCCCCCCCCCCACCCCCCAAAATGACGACTGTCTCTTTCTGATGTTTGTAATAAGTGTTGGTTTACTATTCTTCCTTCGATGTCTGTATGGTGTTGATATCTGGCAACACCTCTTTTGACATGAAGTTATTGTAGTCGTGTCAGTGTTGCCTATGTACCATCTTCTCCTGAATCATCTACTCCTCGTGCATCTTTGAGAGCATTGAGAACATCGCCACGATCCTTGGGTTTGCTTGTCCTGTACTTACCGTGGCCCTACCCGCAAACCAATCCTATCATCCATTCCATGTGAACTCCTGAGTGTCCTGACACAAAAATGAAACTGATTCCTGTTGAGAAGATTTCCTCAGAGATTCCAGCCTTTGTCTTCGAGCCAGATCTGTCTCGATCTTATTAAGCATGTTTAAAAAAACACGCTAGAAAGCACGCATGAGGAAACAATCTTTCTCTAGCGAGGTCATTGCTTTTGTTGGCTCCATCACCTCCAGAGATAGATTACGTTCGTAGTCAAAGCAAAAGCACCGTTATCTTTCTGTACAATTCTCCCTCAAACAACAACAGTGAAAGCCCATAAGCTTTGCATGTGTTGAAAGAAGGACCAACCGGTGTAATTACCTGCACCTCTATAAGCAGAATTCTCAAGAATGCAGGCTTAAACTTCCGGTTCCATCACCAACGTTTTTGCTGTCTTCAATCTCTGTCCATTTTTATGTAGGTTGAAAACACTGCTGGAATTTGCACCCAATATTTCTAATATGTAATGTTTATTTGCCACTCAGTACACAATGATTATTACTGCGCCCGTTAACAAGGCTTATCTGTCTACGGCGCCATCCTTAAAAAATTGTAAGGGGGCTGAGGCAACTCCCCAAAAAATGTCATGTCTGCGACGCGCCTGCATATATACCCACAAAAACCTTAGGGCTGAACAGAATATTGCATGTTTATGAAAACTATTACTACTAACTACTGATGCGAGAATTTCTCCTTAATCATGGATTGAACCACGAAGCATCTGTCGGTAACCCAGTGCGGTAGCCACTAAGCTGCCACGGCCCTAGTGACAATATGACATACAAAATACACGGCTGTCACAGCCTTGATGTCTTGTGGACTAAACTTCTTTGGCCCAATTACACGGAAGTACGCTGGGGGAGGGGTACAGCGGAAGTACGACACAGGTCAAACCACGGCCTTGACCCGACGGGTTAGGGTAGTCCGTTATATATTTCTGCTACCTCACGCCTGCTTCACTTGTCGCCGGCGGACCCGCGGTTCACTTTATCTCTGCCAGCGTTTGTTTTCCTTCTTCTCCGTACACGAAAATGTCTGAAAGACGGCCTAGTGTATCCGAAAGGCGTCAGTCCAGGCGACCTAGTATGTCGAATGCAGAGCAGTATCAGTAAGTAGTCGCTTTTTTAACGATGAAAGTTTGTTTTCTATATGTGTACTTGAACTTTGCGACATTTTTGATTTGTCTGTGGCCGTGGACAGATTTGAGATTTGCCGTGTCATGTTGTGTCTCCTCACCTTTAGTAATATTAATATTATCTGCCCGTGTCGTGTCGCTTCCCTTATACGCCGCGATGTTTATTGGACAGTAGGGTTTCTGCAGACGGCATATTATTTTTTACATGTAGAGTTTGGCGGTACGACTTTGGGTCCATAGGGCATAAAATGGCTCAGCGATTAGCCAATTTGTCGGGACTGTTTTCTCATGGTCCCAAGTATGTCATGCATGTAAATGTCATTCACGTCTACACTTGTTGTCAAGTAACCTTTGATTCGTTAGTCAGGTTCCCGCAAGGGTGACAAAGTGAAAAAAATTATAATTATAATGTAATACTTCTTATGATCATGTATTGTAATTATTATTTATTTATTCATTTGGTTCTCACAGCTGGTCGCCATTCAGTAATATAAAATGTCATGATTATGTGGTGAATTGCAGGAAGTTAACGATGCTGATCGATAGTAACATATATTTCCAGCAGTGATAATGAAGTGATGGCAAGCAATTATTTAAATTGTAAACTAGGGCTGGAGTAAAGTGGCAGCAGTGAGGTTATATTAAGATAATTCGCCAGTTTAAAAGAAACCTGCTCGGCATCATTGAGACAGCCAGCTAATTAAATATCTTGATATCATATGAATGTTATATCTTTGGAACCTTCAAGATAAAATATTTAGAGGTCATAGATCACATTGAATGTAATTAGAAACAGGAATACTCTAGGACAGATATGGAACTACAAGAGTTGTCACTGGACACTTGCTAGGCAGGGACCCATGTTCCACTTGAGTGATAAAAGGCAGAAGATGTGATAGTTTAGCTGGAGTATTGCTATTATTATGAACCTGCTTGTGTCAACAGTATATAAAACAACTTGAAGCCACCTACGGCTGTGCCCACCCCATGTAGCTAAACACAAAGGAAGTGATAAATGAATTATTAGTACTGGATAGAGTTTGTACTTGTTGGGAGCTACCATATTGAAGTGGCTAGAAGCTCACTACGGATCTTAAGGTCGAGGGTTCAGATTCGCATAGTCACAGCAGTGCAAACTTTTTTTTTTTAAATGACCTTTGGTCCCAGGTCGAGCCAGCCTCCTGTGTGTTGTGTACCAGGTAAAGTCCTGAGAATAGAAGCGGCCGGTGTACAGTTGATCATATCACCCACCCAGTGTCGATTGGTCTGTATGCCCAGTGCACCTGAAACGGACAGAACTGTTCTATTGTCAACCTTACTAACGGCTACTAAGAAAACATAAGCTTGAAATAGGAATGAGGATAGGCAGTACTGACGGTGGTAGTTGGTCAGGGATGAGGCCTGTGACAGCACCTGAAGCGGACAGAACTGTTCTATTATCAACCTTACTAACAGCTACTAAGAAAACATAAGCTTGAAATAGGAATGAGGATAGGCAGTACTGACGGTGGTAGTTGGTCAGGGATGAGGCCTGAGACAGCACCTGGGTGTGATGGAGGAGCTGTTCATGTGATTTCCCTCCTGACTGTCAATAAAAGACTGTTGGTTCTACAAGGATCCAAGTGGTGGCTTGGCTTTCCTGACCACAGCTGAAGAAATATATTGCATCTAGAAGTAAACTATCTTTATAGGAGCAGTAAATGTGATATGCAAATTATATAAAGTCAAAAACAAAAGCATGGGTGGTAAAATGCACGCCAACGCTCGCGCTTGCACATACACACACAAACCCATTCACTCACTTACACACTCACATAGGCACCCAATACATACATCCACATACATACATACATGCATGAGTACATACATACACGCAGACACTCTCTAAAACACACAGGCATTATCAAATAGACACACCCATAGAGATACACACACACAAACACACCTACAGACACATAGAGACATACACAACACTCACACAGACGCTTAGATTGATAACACCATAAACAGATAACTTTAATATCTCAGAACAAATGTAACTAAATTGTAAAATCAGAATAAGAAACTATCAGACTTATTCTATCAGCTTGACACATGATGATTGTGTAAAATATATATACAGTGATTCACAATCAGTCCTAGGTTTATAGATGACAGATCTAAGCCACTCTCACCTTCAGTGCAGCTCAAAGACACAATTATATGGAAAGCAGGTGTCACAAGCCAGTGTATTGTGAGGAACATCAAATGCAAATTCAGTAACAGATATGGGGATAATTCAGTTTTAACATAGTATCTAGCATAAAGTATTTTTTATGTTTTGTAATGGTGTGTTCTGTCTTTGTTGTTTGGATTACCTACCTATATCACAAGTCACCTTCTCTTTCTGTCCCCCCCCCCCCCTTTCTCCCTCCTGCCCTCCTTCTTTGAAGAAATCCTGTTTGGAACACATATGATTCAGGTCCTTCCTTTACAGGAAGTTGAATTTCAGGATACCAACTCAACCAGGATATTGTAGTGTCACTTAGAGGTACATCCTGCTGCATGATGAGGCTATATTTTCTTGCTGTGACTTATTTGCTGTGCCTCATATCTGTCGTGCTGAGTAAATACTTTTTCCATGTAAATGTCAAAACATTATAAGTGCTAGGTGTGAAGTGAGATTTGACAGTCTTTCCTCCCTTTATAGTTCACCCATGGGGGCGATGGTGATCATGTCCATCCATACATTGTGTCTCTTATACCATCCCTTGTTTTTTATTTATAATGATTGTCTTCCATGCCCTGATGCCTCTGTCTCTGCTTCACTCTTTGCCCCTCTAACTTTCTTTGTTTTTTCTGTACATCATTATGCCTTTTGTCTGTCCACAGTGTTCTCTCATTATTCTTCGAAACCACATCTCTGCTACTTTCACTAAGCACCTGAACGGTGGTGGTTTGTATTTGTAACTCTATCAGGATTTGACACAGTATAAGAATGATCTTGATACCCTCAGTTGATATAGATATACTGCATAGAATACACACGCACATACACACTGAAGACAATGTCAACATGCCACAGATGTGAAGTTGTGTTTGTTGTCTCCAGGGCCGATATTGCCCTCATTGGGTTGGCTGTGATGGGGCAGAATCTGATTCTCAACATGAATGACCATGGCTTCACTGTAAGTCACTGCTCTTGCTCTCATTTATATCAGCTGCTTGTTGTTATTTCTACGTTGTTCACTTTTTGTATCTCAAAGCATGGACTGGTGATATTTGGGGGGGGGGGGGGGTATAGTGGTTGCAGGGCTGAACTTTTTATCCAAAAGTCCAGTGTTTAATCCCGACAAGGTGATGATTTTTCTGTAGGAAGCACACACACAGAGAGATTAATGAAACCCTGGCCTGCACAATCTGTGGTGACTGCACCAGACATGTAGTACTGAATCCTCTCACACCCTCATAACTCCCCCCCCCCCCCCCCCCCCATATGTAGTAGACCACTGATTATGGCAAAGGATGTAGTGTACAATGTAGATAGTAAGAGGAAATGAAAGAGCTCTAGAGTGAGACTGGTTATTTCATCCGCCAGCCATGAACACAGATCAAATGGGCTGCATGAGTTTGTTGAGAGCCATTGAGAAAGGTAACAAATAAGATGACTATTTCCAACCTTGTAGGCAACTAAAGACAGGAAGAAGATGTCGAGGCTGACCTCAACTACGATATAAAGATGTGTGCAAGCGGGTAATGAAGGATACAGGTATTGAGGTGGACTCATGGGAACAAAATATCATGGACCGTGTTGTTGGGGGGGGGGGGGGGGGGGGGGGGTTACACCAGGAAAGGAATGAGAATGAAGAATGAAAGTATGAGAGCTGAGTGTCTTGAGAAGAAACAGACTAAACATAAATGTTGACAACAGTGATCCTGAAATCCCATGCTATAATTGTGAAAGACTTCTTAACGCGGACGGGTCTTGCTAGTCACACTCACCATGGGCTGTGAGTCTCATGCTGCCTCAGACAGAAAAGTGCCAATCACTATCAGTCATCCGTGTGTGGGTTCCGGGTCCCTGTTATAGGGAAAACAAGAACAGACCCACTGCCTACCCAAAAGCATGTTGTAAGAATCAACTAATTGGGAGCTTCCTTCAGAGTCGGAGTGCATCTGCCTGAGAGGCAAGAAGCAAGCAGTCTGCATACAAATTAGTCAGATCTGTTAAACGGATGCACACACAACACTCAAGTTCTGGAACAGGACTGCAGTCCAGAAGTGGATGAACAACCAGTCCTCAAGCAAGCAAAACACAGATTGCAACTATGGTTGTGTGCCCTCCAAGTGGCGAGTGTCAGCTGTATGTGCTGATTGTCAACCATGGTTGTGTGCCCTCCAAGTGGTGAGTGTCAGCTGTATGTGCTGATTGTCAACCATGGTTGTGTGCCCTCCAAGTGGTGAGTGTCAACTGTATGTGCTGATTGTCAACCATGGTTGTGTGCCCTCCAAGTGGTGAGTGTCAGCTGTATGTGCTGATTGTCAACTATGGTTGTGTGCCCTCTTAGTGCTGATTGTCAACCACGGTTGTGTGCCCTCCAAGTGGTGAGTGTCAGCTGTATGTGCTGATTATCAACCACCAGCAAGAATTTGTGGATGCCTCTTGTAGCCTGGCTCAGTGTGCCAAGTTTGGTCTTCTCCGCAGGGCACATCACAACACTCCCCCCCCCCTCTCCTGTTTGTCAATCCTGAAATAGAACATGGGCTTTCAAGCAGCTTACACAAAGCCTTTTGTAGACATGATTGAATGGCTTTTGCAGGAAATTCTTTTTTTTTTTAATGGGATAAGTTAGCTAGTCTCCTGCCAGCTCTCCTTATTAGCCCTTGTGACATGCATGGTAGATTACAGTATTAAAGCCTTAAGCACTGCAGTTAATGCATGGCTGCCTGGGATGATTAGCTGCCATATTATATCTGCTAGTGTGGTTCATGACACCCACACCCCCTTCATTTAGCTGGCTTTCAAATCAGCAAGATCTATGTAGGATGCTGGTGTCCTTTGTGACCCCGCTTCTTTCTTCAGCCAGGTCTCTATGTACAACAATTCTAATCTTGAGTATAAACTGAGATGGATGAGTGCATAGCCCTCCTTAGGTGCGTAACAGCAAGCATGTTCCTTAATGACCCACATATTGTCCACCTGGACCAAGGGATCATTCAGGTGCTGTCATTCTATATATGCTTCAGCAGTTTGTTTGCGGCTGTGAATGCTTTCTTCCTTGTCTTTCTGACACTAAATATTCATAAATTATGTTTCTGGCAGTAAATATTCTAAAATCACAATCCCTTGTTTGTATGTCATTATTCTTAAATGACAACCCTTTTGTTTTTAGCGGTACAAATTCTAAAATTATAATCGTTTCAAACTGTAACTATCCATAAATCACACTTCCTGACAATCATCTTTATCCTTCAGCATTTATTACTAGATACGGAGAAGATGTGAATAGGGACGTGAGTTCTTCATCACATATCATCATCATCATCATCTATGACTAAGGACCAAGCTATGCTGTTGTTACTGGCATGTTTCATCTTCCAAATAGGTTGTGGCCTACAACAGAACAGTCACAAAGGTGGTGGAGTTTCTGAACAATGAGGCCAAAGGGACCAGAGTCATTGGTGCCTCGTCTTTGGAAGATATGGTCAACAAGTTGAAGAAACCCAGGAAAATTATGTTGCTGGTCAAGGCTGGCTCTGCAGTGGATGAATTCATTGATTCTTTGGTATGTTGTTATTTAGAATGATCTTACTGACTTAGTCACTCCTCTTCTACCTTGGGGTGTGGAGGTTTGCCAAAGAGATCGCCAAACTTCACTGTCAGCAGTTTTCTTTTTGGCTTTGTTCCATGCCAGTCCTCTGTCCGTCAGAGACTGTAGGGTATTGTCTTCCCGGCATACCCTGGGTCACCCTGGTGGTCTGGTTCCCTGGTTCTTGGCCTCCCGTGTCTGTCACGGTGGAAAATTCTTTCTGCTGGATTTGCATTTTTGTTCCTTTAAGGTTTTATAATGATAGTGTTAAGTCTAATTGTACCGCTGCACAATGACTCTGCTGTAGTCAGCTCTTATGGCTCATACAGGGAGATTTTTGAACAAGGCACATACAGGGAGATTTGTGAACAAGGCACATACAGGGAGATTTGGGAACAAAGCACATAGAGGGAGATCTGTGAACAAGGCACATACAGGAAGATTTGTGAACAAGGCACATACAGGGAGATCTGTGAACAAGGCACATACAGGGAGATTTGTGAACAAGGCACATACAGGGAGATCTGTGAACAAGACACATACAGGGAGATCTGTGAACAAGGCACATACAGGGAGATTTGTGAACAAGGCACATAGAGGGAGATTTGTGAACAAGGCACATACAGGTAGATTTGTGAACAAGGCACATACAGGGAGATTTGTGAACAAGGCACATAGAGGGAGATTTGTGAACAAGGCACATACAGGGAGATTTGTGAACAAAGCACATAGAGGGAGATTTGTGAACAAGGCACATACAGGGAGATTTGTGAACAAGACACATAGAGGGAGATTTGTGAACAAAGCACGTACATACTGGACAAAAGACCAGAATTGCAGTACGATTATCAGCTGATATATTCCAGAGCTTGTATCAGACCTTTGCAAAATCACCATATGCCTGGTTGTAACGTGTAATATTGTTGATTAATATGTTACTGCAGAAAAGTTGTTGACGAATAATCATGAATTGTGCCCAAGGTTCACAGTTCATACTACTTTGATCCAGGAAAGTAGTTTCGCGCCAGTATATGAAGCTTTTTACCTTCCTTAGCTAATGTTATCTGTATACTAAACAATGTTGACCTTCCCTAGCTAATGTTATCTGTATACTATACAATGTTGACCTTCCCTAGCTAATGCTATCTGTATACTATACAATGTTTACCTTCCCTAGCTAATGTTATCTGTATACTATACAATGTTGACCTTCCCTAGCTAATGTTATCTGTATACTATACAATGTTGACCTTCCCTAGCTAATGTTATCTGTATACTATACAATGTTGACCTTCCTTAGCTAATGTTATCTGTATACTATACAATGTTTACCTTCCTTAGCTAATGTTATCTGTATACTATACAATGTTGACCTTCCCTAGCTAATGTTATCTGTATACTATACAATGTTGACCTATCCTAGCTAATGTTATCTGTATACTAAACAATGTTGACCTTCCCTAGCTAATGTTATCTGTATACTATACAATGTTGACCTTCCCTAGCTAATGTTATCTGTATACTATACAATGTTGACCTTCCTTAGCTAATGTTATCTGTATACTATACAATGTTGACCTTCCCTAGCTAATGTTATCTGTATACTATACAATGTTGACCTTCCCTAGCTAATGTTATCTGTATACTATACAATGTTGACCTTCCCTAGCTAATGTTATCTGTATACTATACAATGTTGACCTTCCTTAGCTAACGTTATCTGTATACTATACAATGTTTACCTTCCCTAGCTAATGTTATCTGTATACTATACAATGTTTACCTTCCCTAGCTAATGTTATCTGTATACTATACAATGTTGACCTTCCTTAGCTAATGTTATCTGTATACTATACAATGTTGACCTTTCACTGAGATGATAAATACAATGTTTCCCATATTTATCACACAGATACCTTTTTTGGAAAAGGGGGACATTATTATTGATGGTGGCAACTCGGAATATCGAGACTCTAATGTAAGTAGTTTCAAACATGTCTCTTTAATTCAACATAATTCATCATCATGTGCTGTGCCAGATCTCAGTGCTTATGTTCAGGGTCGGCTGTGTTGATATTAGTCCTTTATGTCTCCACCTTAGACAGTTTAAATGTAGAAAGTTCTTCATTAGTGGCATGATGTTTCTTGTTTACATCAGACTGTTAGCTCACTGATACTAGTATTGAGTTGAGTAGTTGTCTTCTATCCTGTGTATTTAATAGCAGACAGAATTCGTTACATATCCTTTTTGAGGGTGTCAAACCAATTCTAGCATTTGTTGTCTGGGATTATACTAAGCACATTTATGTTCAGTAGTTTACCATTGCTTTATGTATGGTTTGACAGACATACCATTGTCAGAATCCATAAAAGCAGTCTGCTGCCAAATAACTTGCAGCTGAATTAAATCTGGCATGTCAGCATTATGAAGCCACATTCATAACCCTAAAGCCACAGATGTTGACAGAGTAAACAATAAATGTGGTTAGTGCACATATTTATCCACACACTGGCCCAGGTTCAGCAGAAGTTATGTAATCCAGATGGGCAGATACAAATCAGGAGATTGGCAAACAACAGTCGTAAGAGAGAGGAGAATTAGGAAATGAGTGTTGAAGATTCTCTGCAGCTGACCTTCATTGTTGAGGCAGCATTTGGTTGATTGATTTAGCAATGTTCTCAAATGTGTGAACACCAGAATCATCCATGGTGCTCACATTTTATTATAATTTTTTGTCAAATATAGCCACCAAATGTATCTCTGGAGTCAGCTGTTGTAAGGCTTTTTTTGTGTGTGTGTGTTTTGTATGCTGCTAGTAATTTTGTAAGTCTGTTTTTACATTCGTTGCCGTTTGTGCGTGTTATTGTGGTGTTGTTTTGTGAGTGCGTTCAAACTTTATTCAAATTACAAAAAAAGAAAAATGGAAAAGTAACAAAACAAAGAGGAAGGAAAAAGCTCTGGGGCTGGGGGAAATGAAGAGAAAGGGGACTCCACTCATTTTTTTGGTTCGCACCAAGAGAGGGGTCCGTACTGTTTCAGTGGTCTTTTTCTTGCTTTGACGCCTTGTAGGAAAATTTTTGTGTGTCCTTTTTTCGAGGGTTTTGCCAGTGTCATATGACATCGAACGCAGTGGACTTTGGTGATTACATGCGAGAATGTCGTTGATTCTGCAAAGCATTTTGGACATAGTATGTCTTTGATGTGAGGCTCTGGATCCTCGAAGTCTGAGAGTTCTGAGCCGGATGTAGTCTCGTCTTTCACGGCAGCTGCTGTAGTCTCCTCCAGGATTTCTTTGTTGTCTCTTTTTGCAGCAGGTGATGTCTCGTTGGAGCTGACCTTCTGGCGACTTCGCTTTTTGACTTTCCTCTTCTTCTTCTTGCCTTCGGTCTGTGAGCCCTCTTCTTCCGTTGAGGATTGCGTACTTGATATGACGACTTCCTGTTGCGTAGTGACTGCCAACTCTTCCTGGGGTGGATGAACCTCCTCCGGAATGGGTGTAGTTACTGGCTCGGGTCGTCTCCTCCTTGTGGGGCACTTGTTTGCCCAGTGGTCATTGTGCCCGCTGTGTGGACAATTTGTCCTTCTGCCTGGCACAGTGACCCAGAGCTGGTGCTTGCCGCTGGGGAGCGCCGGATTCCTCATGTTAACATAATGAGGAATCGGCTTTTTCTCCTTCACCGAGGCATACCATCTGTCCTTGCCGTGTCTCGTTTGGTAAATTTCGGGATCTTCGTCGCCCGTGATACCTGCGATGATCTTTTTCGCGGTCTGTTCAGTGGTTACTGGCATCCAGTGGATGCAGATTTTTGTTTTCATTTTGTCTAGATGTTCTAGAAGAACATCTACTCCTTCCACGGTCTTCCGCACATTGTGCAGGAGATCGAAATTGGTCCTGTGCGCTTCTTCTGTGAGGGTGAGGTACCACTCGGTGGGGTTCGAGTAGCGGTACAGCGCCGCTATTCCGTAGATAGGCACTCCGACTGGGCCTATCAGGACGCTGGTCAGCCTAGCGGGCGCTGCCCTGGAGGCCGCATCGGCACCGGACAAAGACACAACAATTGTACTACCTGTCTGGTGTATCCTTCCTCCAGGAAACGCATCCAACACGTCCAGGTCCACGGTGGTGACGGCTGCTGCAGGCTGCATCTCGAGAGGTTGTGGCAAGAGGCTTGAGAATGAAATACTTATGACAGCAGAGCGTAAATGTCCAATCAGCCCATCACATGTTTATCTATAAAATAAATCACAAAAAATCACAAACACTTTCTATATTTCCTGTTTTTATTATAAATGAAGTTTAAAACTCCTCCTAAACCATAACCAGTACACAGTTAAATTTTCATTTGACATCGGGATTACAATGTTTAATTCAACAGTCACATTGGCAGCCCAGTTTGTGCATTTCTTTATTTATTGCAACAACAAGTAAAAGTATGCTAAAGTTATATCCCTTTGAATATTTTTTGGTGTTATTTTCCTTGAAAAGGTAATTGTAAAAAAAATTATATTTTGTCGTTATCACCCTTGAAAAAACACCTATATGTGTCTGAGATCGTACATATTGTTATATGGGTGTTAGTACTACATGGGATGCCTTGGGTGCACTAAGGGGCAATGACTAAAGATACAGCAGCGGTGGAGACCAAGGTGAGTTAGAGAATGGAGAATAGGGCAGTTAAATCTCGTTGTTTGTGTATGTTTAGATAAAGCAAATTTTACATCCTTGTGTGGAGGGGGGGGGGGTTGTAGGGGGAGATAAACCCACTGTACCGTATTATAAAGAGGTGACTTGTTAGGGATTTGCTGAAATCAGTTTTAATGAGCCGAAAGTCAGTGCATCTGCCCGAGTGGCAAAAAACATCCAACTACACAAATAAAGAGTGAAACGCATTTGCAAAGAAGTGTTGGAAATTCATTGGTGCCAACCTTTTCTGTTGAATTGACACCTGATTAATAAATGTATAATTAAATAATCCTCCCACTGTTATCCTCAGCGCCGCTGCCAGAATTTGCGGGACAAAGGTCTCCTATTCATTGGGACCGGTGTCAGTGGGGGAGAGGAAGGTGCTCGTTACGGCCCATCGCTGATGCCTGGCGGTAACGAGGACGCATGGCCAGCTGTCAAGGATATTTTTCAGACCATAGCAGCCAAAGTTGGCAAAGATGCATGCTGTGATTGGGTGAGTTTTTTTGGGGTTTGGATTGTTTACTCGCCATGTGAGTGTTTGTTTGTACTGGCATGATATGTTGTTTTGAAGTTGTGCACAGCTCTTCTGCTAACCCACTGTGTGGAAATTATTAAATTCTTTCTCTCAGTGTTGTAATTTCAACTCCTCCAACTCTTAGCAAAGACACTTCTCTGGACAGAGTCACTTGTCTAGCTGCAGCAAATGTCACCATCAATATTTTCGCTGGACATGTCATGTCTGCTTCACAAATACTTGAAAACATCTTCAGGTTTATGAGTCTACACTCATAATAATCTATGACTGATTGGCCATGGTTGGATGATTGACTGATTGGCCATGGTTGGATGATGTGGTCAACATTATACTGGATGCCTGTGACATAACCTGGTAGCCATTTAAAGCTAGGTTGACCAAGGTGAGCTGTGAAGAGAATCCAGCTGGATTGGGTTGCCATAACTCCCACCAGGTATCCTTATAATGAGCAGTCACCTAAGAAATTAATTCATTGTACGTTTGTTCTTTTGTGGAGCATGGTTTGAGTTGGATCAGCTTGGTTTCCAAACACTGCTTAAGAAATTATTCAGTTCAAATTAAAGAATTAAGAATTGACATCCCTGCATTCGGGGCATTCCCACACATGCTCTGTCTCCTTCTTCGGTAGACAATGAAATGTCGATAACTAATACTACCTCTCTGATTACAAATTCAGTTTAAAAACTTCCTTTGTGGGTTCAGGGCTCCATTTTGGGGGACAACAAACAACTGTCTTCTAACAATCATGTGGTTGGAGATGGCTAATGAGGAGTCGGAATGCATCTGCCTAGGAGCAAGAAACCAGCAGTCTGCATACAGTTAAGCTAGATCTACAAAACAGAAATACAAGCAGGACTCTGGAAGAAGACTCAAGTCCAGAAATGCATCAGTAACCAGAATGAATCTTGCAGCTGGTGAACACTAAGTTGAAGACAACAAACTGTTGGCTGTCATGTTTGTATACAATTAATTACTCTATTTACCTATAGATATATGTATGTATGGGCCACATTATTTTCACCAAACATTATTGATGACAAATATGGTATAGCTTATATTTGAGATATTCTGCATGTCACTTGTACAAAACGAAACCATACATCTACCTGTACTTTCATTATATTTCCAGCAGACAGCGTTTCGCTTTCTTGTCACGAAAATATTATTGATTTTGGAATGTTCTTTCAAGAGCATCTTTCATTCCAGTCGTTCTTCATAGATTTTTCTCATCCACCTTGAACTTCCTCCCAGCAGCTGGGTTTCCATTTTCTTGTGCATTTCTGAAACTTGCTCTTATGCAGCCCATCTGTCACTGCTTACAGGTACTACTGTTTGGTTTATTCTCTGCAGCCCATCTGTCACTGCTTACAGGTACTACTGTTTGTTTTGGTCTCTGCAGCCCATTATTCACTGCTTACAGGTACTATTGTTTGTTTTGGTCTCTGCAGCCCATCTTTTACTGTTTACAGGTACTACTGTTTGTTTTGGTCTCTGCAGCCCATCTATTATTGCTTACAGGTACTACTGTTTGTTTTGGTCTCTGCAGCCCATCTATTACTGCTTACAGGTACTACTGTTTGTTTTGGTCTCTGCAGCCCATCTGTCACTGCTTACAGGAACTACTGTTTGTTTTGGTCTCTGCAGAATTCTAAGAAAATTGTGTTTTCCAGAACTGGGTGCAGCTTATACATGTGTAAACATGGTAGCAATGCTGTCGTCCATTAGTCATTTTGTTTAAAACTGATCCATCATTTTGACTTGAGACACGCCTTCTGAGCTTTGTTAAATAACTCTCTCTTGACTGTTCAGGTGGGACCAGAGGGTGCAGGCCATTTTGTGAAGATGGTTCACAACGGGATTGAGTACGGAGACATGCAGCTTATCTGTGAGGCCTTCCATTTGATGAAGTCTGCTCTCGGGCTCTCTCACGACAGAATGTCCAAGGTAAGAGTGGCCTGACACAGGTCCGACTGGCAACATCTGCCGCCACCTTGTGATTGGTCGTCGGTATTGTGACATGGTTCATTGTTAAATATAACTCTACCAAGGTTTGATTTCATGTACAGGCTACACTGGCCTGTATAGTTAGATAATCATTCCTTACTCTCACAAGAAGCTAGGGTACAGTCATAGTTTAGCTTTTGTAAGCGCCCTGTTTCCTATTTTCTAGTAGCTTGAATGGGCAAGCCAGTCTGTAAGACGTACATGCAAAACCCAAGTTGTGCATCAAGAACAACAGGCAGGAGATGGATGAACAACCAGAGCTTTCCGCTGGAATTGAAATCCAGTGAACAGAAGAAGAGCTGCCCCTTTGACAAATGTGTTATCTTGCTAACACTCTTCTAGAGCAGGCTAACCCTGTCTTGTCTGCCAGGTCTTGCAAACGCAGTGCCATCATTTCAGACACAGGATTGTGAGGAATTTAAGGTCGCTGAGGTGTGCCCCACATGAGGTGCCATCAGGCTTTGTGCTGGTTTGAATGGGCATATAGCAAGACTCCCGGTTTACACCTTCCTTATGCGCCAGCGACAATGGCCAAATTGGCCTAAACTGAGGCAGTCTATCTTGATCCAAACTGAGGCAGTCTATGTTGACCTAAACTGAGGCAGTCTATCTTGGCCTAAACTGAGGCAGTCTATCTTGGCCTAAACTGAGGCAGTCTATGTTGACCTAAACTGAGGCAGTCTATCTTGGCCTAAACTGAGGCAGTCTATCTTGGCCTAAACTGAGGCAGTCTATCTTGATCCAAACTGAGGCAGTCTATCTTGGCCTAAACTGAGGCAGTCTATCTTGGCCTAAACTGAGGCAGTCTGTCTTGGCCTAAACTGAGGCAGTCTATCTTGGCCTAAACTGAGGCAGTCTATCTTGGCCTAAACTGAGGCAGTCTATCTTGGCCTAAACTGAGGCAGTCTATCTTGGCCTAAACTGAGGCAGTCTATCTTGGCCTAAACTGAGGCAGTCTATCTTGGCCTAAACTGAGGCAGTCTATGTTGACCTAAACTGAGGCAGTCTATCTTGGCCTAAACTGAGGCAGTCTATCTTGGCCTAAACTGAGGCAGTCTATGTTGACCTAAACTGAGGCAGTCTATCTTGGCCTAAACTGAGGCAGTCTATCTTGGCCTAAACTGAGGCAGTCTATCTTGATCCAAACTGAGGCAGTCTATCTTGGCCTAAACTGAGGCAGTCTATCTTGGCCTAAACTGAGGCAGTCTATCTTGGCCTAAACTGAGGCAGTCTATCTTGGCCTAAACTGAGGCAGTCTATCTTGGCCTAAACTGAGGCAGTCTATCTTGGCCTAAACTGAGGCAGTCTATCTTGGCCTAAACTGAGGCAGTCTATCTTGGCCTAAACTGAGGCAGTCTATCTTGGCCTAAACTGAGGCAGTCTATCTTGGCCTAAACTGAGGCAGTCTATCTTGGCCTAAACTGAGGCAGCCTATCTTGGCCTAAACTGAGGCAGTCTGTCTTGGTAAGAGCTGGTGGTCCTAGAGAGGCAGTATTCGGAAAACCCCTGGAACTCATCAACCCCACCCCCCCACCATTATTCATACGTGTGTCGATCGAGAATCCTATTAAATGGCAGCTAGGGTTCAAATACCCATCCATTGAGCGTCCTACTAATTAGCAATTAAGGTTCAAAATTCTGTTGTGCAAAGATCCTATTGATAACACAGAAGGTTAAAATATCTGCTGCCACTGTAAACACTCATATGTGTTGAACATAAAGGGAGTCGATGCCAGTGCATACCTTCTCTATATCTTGATGCCAGTGCATACCTTCTCTATATCTTGATGCCAGTGCATACCTTCTCTATATCACCACTGTAAGTGCCAAGAAATACCTACGTAACCATTGACCACAGGAGAAGTTCCAACATATCACCACTGTAAGTGCCAAGAAACACCTACGTAACCATTGACCACAGGAGAAGTTCCAACATATCACCACTGTAAGTGCCAAGAAACACCTACGTAACCATTGGCCACAGGAGAAGTTCCAACAAGTTTAGGGTTTGAAAGGCCATGCTTTGTGTGGGACATGAGAGTCTTGGATCTGCTGACTGCTTTTGTTAATCACTAAAGGGTGCAGCCAGTGGTGGATGGGAGGTACAAGTCTGGGATGTGAGGTTAAGCAGCCACTAAAGCAGTGGTGGATGGGAGGCTCAAGTCTGGGATGTGAGGTTAAGCAGCCACTAAAGGGTGCAGCCAGTGGTGGATGGGAGGCTCAAGTCTGGGATGTGAGGTTAAGCAGCCACATGCAGGACCTGTTTCCTTGTGTGAACCCAGTCTCAGAACACCATCTAACAACTCTGCCTGCACACAGCTGCCCTAGATGGGGCCTCTGGGACAACACCTGTGGATCAGAGAATGAAGAGGTCACCACACAAATGAGGTTGTGGAGTTGATGGAGGTCACCACACAAATGAGGTTGTGAAGTTGATGGTCACCACACAAATGAGGTTGTGGAGTTGATGGAGGTCACCACACAAATGAGGTTGTGAAGTTGATGGTCACCACACAAATGAGGTTGTGGAGTTGATGGAGGTCACCACACAAATGAGGTTGTGGAGTTGATGGAGGTCACCACACAGATGAGGTTGTGGAGTTGATGGAGGTCACCACACAAATGAGGTTGTGGAGTTGATGGAGGTCACCACACAAATAAAATTGTGGATGGAGGTCACCACACAAATGAGGTTGTGGAGTTGATGGTCACCACACAAATGAGGTTGTGGAGTTGATGGAGGTCACCACACAAATGAGGTTGTGGAGTTGATTGAGGTCACCACACAAATGAGGTTGTGGAGTTGATGGAGGTCACCACACAAATGAGGTTGTGGAGTTGATGGTCACCACACAAATGAGGTTGTGGAGTTGATGGAGGTCACCACACAAATGAGGTTGTGGAGTTGATGGAGGTCACCACACAAATGAAATTGTGGAGTTGATGGTCACCACACAAATTAGGTTGTGGAGTTGATGGTCACCACACAAATGAGGTTGTGGAGTTGATGGAGGTCACCACACAAATGAAATTGTGAAGTTGATGGAGGTCACCACACAAATGAGGTTGTGGAGTTGATGGTCACCACACAAATGAGGTTGTGGAGTTGATGGAGGTCACCACACAAATGAGGTTGTGGAGTTGATGGAGGTCACCACACAAATGAAATTGTGGAGTTGATGGAGGTCACCACACAAATGAGGTTGTGGAGTTGATGGAGGTCACCACACAAATGAGGTTGTGAAGTTGATGGAGAAGGCTAACCCAATAACAAATGCTGGACGTGTGAATTGTGGACCTGTGCTGTTAACAGGCACAATGCAATTACATCACTGGGACGAGGGGTTAGAAGAATCAAAACCTCTTCTGACCCCCAGAACCCACACAGGTGTGTAGAGATTAATGTGCAGTTATTATTTGAGTTGTATTAGATATGAGATTTGACTTGTTTGTCCAGATATTTGAAATGAGATTTGACTTGTTTGTCCAGGTATTTGATATGAGATTTGACTTGTTTGTCCGGGTATTTGATATGAGATTTGACTTGTTTGTCCAGGTATTTGATGAGTGGAACAAAGGTGAACTGAAGTCTTTCCTCATTGAGATAACTAGTGATATCCTGAGTGCCAAGGACAGAGACGGCACAGCCTTGGTGGAAAGAATTTTGGACTCTGCTGGTCAAAAGGGGACCGGCAAATGGACAGCTATTTCTGCATTGGAATATGGTGTTCCATTAACACTTATTGGTGAGTATGATCCCAGTTAGTTTGGTCTGTTATAGTGGCTCAGCACATCTGATTATCTCAAGCACTTTGTCAGGTTTGATTTCCATAGTCCACCTACAGGGCAACGAGGCTGTGTCTGGATCCTGTGCCTTGACCTGTCCACTATGGAAGAGTGAACCAGTAGCTGAGCTACCACTGACATAACTGCTAGGGACTCTCCAGGCCCTCTACCCCATCAAAGTGGAAATGCATCAGAGTGGGTTGGTGAGTTTAGCACAACAAGCAAAAGACACAGATACAAGAGTTCCTGTTCCTTTTGTTTGCCTGGATTAATCTAAATCTGCAGTTTTTGTTGTTGCTTCTAGCTTGAATTGGGCAGTCTTCTGCGGAAGGGAATACCTGGAGCTGTTTCATCTAAGCTGTATTTCGTACAGTTGTACATATTCTATAGGTACAGGTGTTGTACATATTCTATAGGTACAGTGTTGTACATGTTCTATAGGTACAGGAGTTGTACATGTTCTATAGGTACAGTGTTGTACATTTTCTGTAGGTACAGTGTTGTACATGTTCTATAGGTACAGTGTTGTACATGTTCTATAGGTACAGGTGTTTGTATGAACCCATCACTGTTATACCTTAGTTTTGTAGTTTTGTCTACATATCTCTATTCAGTCCCTAGTTTTTCATTTACTTTGTACTGAGGTCTGACAGATCTTGGAAGAGGGGAAAAACCAGGAATGATAACTTAGAGCTAAACAGGAACATCTCAGGAAATGTTAGGAGGAAAACAAGGTTGGGGGGGGGGGGGTGTAAAATCTTTGTTAGCTGTAATTAATACAAATGATACAATTTATGTCCAACTAACTGTAGTCCTTGGTGTTCTGGATGGGGATGTGGTGGCACTGAACTACATGTAGGAATGCACTCGGATCGGAGTCAAGAGCTAGTTCAGTAGTGGAAGAAAACCAGGACTTTACAGCCAATGAATTGCCCAGAAGTCGGTGTACTGGATGTTGATGATATTCCTTGATGCCTCCATCAACTGATATCATTAATGAGTCTGTCCCTGCCTCTTCTACTGCTTCTCTTTCAGCTCAGCACAAATGTCATGTTATGTTTGGTTCAGTTTAGAACAGACACTAAACTCACATTTCTCCCATCTAGGTGAAGCAGTATTTGCTCGGTGCCTGTCATCATTAAAAGACGAACGGGTGATCGCCAGCAAGCAGATTGCTGGACCTGAATCAAGTAGATTTAATGGGGAAAAAAAGGATTTTATTGAAGATATCAGACAGGTGAGTTTACAACTGACAGTGCCATGTTCACTTTGGTTTACTTGTGCGTACGTACATATAGCACATCTGGTAAAACACGACCAGTCTTGGCTCAGTCTACATGGGCTGTGTGGCTGGAATATGACCAGCCTAGACTCAGTCTCTTGACAGTTTACATGGTCTGTGTGGCTGGAATATGACCAGCCTTGACTCAATCTCTTGACAGTTTACATGGTCTGTGTGGCTGGAATATGACCAGCCTTGACTCAATCTCTGACAGTTTACATGGGCTGTGTGGCTGAAACATGACCAGCCTTAACTCAATCTCTGACAGTTTACATGGGCTGTGTGGCTGGAATATGACCAGCCTTGACTCAATCTCTGACAGTCTACATGGGCTGTGTGGCTGGAACATGACCAGCCTTGACTCAATCTCTGACAGTCTACATGGGCTGTGTGGCTGGAATATGACCAGCCTTGACTCAATCTCTGACAGTCTACATGGGCTGTGTGGCTGGAACATGAGCAGCCTTGACTCAATCTCTGACAGTCTACATGGGCTGTGTGGCTGGAATATGACCAGCCTTGACTCAATCTCTGACAGTCTACATGGGCTGTGTGGCTGGAATATGACCAGCCTTGACTCAATCTCTGACAGTCTACATGGGCTGTGTGGCTGGAATATGACCAGCCTTGACTCAATCTCTGACAGTTTACATGGGCTGTGTGGCTGGAATATGACCAGCCTAGACTCAGTCTCTTGACAGTTTACATGTTCTGTGTGGCTGGAATATGACCAGCCTTGACTCAATCTCTGACAGTCTACATGGGCTGTGTGGCTGGAATATGACCAGCCTTGACTCAATCTCTGACAGTCTACATGGGCTGTGTGGCTGGAATATGACCAGCCTTGACTCAATCTCTGACAGTTTACATGGGCTGTGTGGCTGGAATATGACCAGCCTAGACTCAGTCTCTTGACAGTTTACATGGTCTGTGTGGCTGGAATATGACCAGCCTTGACTCAATCTCTTGACAGTTTACATGGTCTGTGTGGCTGGAATATGACCAGCCTTGACTCAATCTCTGACAGTCTACATGGGCTGTGTGGCTGAAACATGACCAGCCTTAACTCAATCTCTGACAGTTTACATGGGCTGTGTGGCTGGAATATGACCAGCCTTGACTCAATCTCTGACAGTCTACATGGGCTGTGTGGCTGGAACATGACCAGCCTTGACTCAATCTCTGACAGTCTACATGGGCTGTGTGGCTGGAATATGACCAGCCTTGACTCAATCTCTGACAGTCTACATGGGCTGTGTGGCTGGAACATGAGCAGCCTTGACTCAATCTCTGACAGTCTACATGGGCTGTGTGGCTGGAATATGACCAGCCTTGACTCAATCTCTGACAGTCTACATGGGCTGTGTGGCTGGAATATGACCAGCCTTGACTCAATCTCTGACAGTCTACATGGGCTGTGTGGCTGGAATATGACCAGCCTTGACTCAATCTCTGACAGTCTACATGGGCTGTGTGGCTGGAACATGACCAGCCTTGACTCAATCTCTGACAGTCTACATGGGCTGTGTGGCTGGAATATGACCAGCCTTGACTCAATCTCTGACAGTCTACATGGGCTGTGTGGCTGGAATATGACCAGCCTTGACTCAATCTCTGACAGTCTACATGGTCTGTGTGGCTGGAATATGACCAGCCTTGACTCAAATCTCTGACAGTCTACATGGGCTGTGTGGCTGGAACATGACCAGCCTTGGCTAAGTTTGAGACAGGGGAGGGGGAGGCTTATTTCTCTACACAAATATGAAGCTGCATTACTAGCCTTGGGTCACCTTTGCTTCTTGGGCTTGGCAGTGAGCTCTAAAACACTTGTCTTCATGGAAAGGGTGGTTAAGAACCCAGCTGGACAGTTACTGCACTGCTTTCTGACTTTCAAAGTTGTGCATCCTATTCTAGTAACTTGGAACACTGCTACACCTGACACTGTGGGTCCAGGCCACTAACACGAAGGAGCTGCACCTTAATAAGTAGGATACCAAGCTGTCAGTAGTTGTCATTCTCTTTGAAATAGAGTTATTGATCATCAAGTGCTGAATGTTATCAATGATGTTCTGAGTCAGCCGCAGCCCTGACAGTTAGTGATATCAACAGCCAGTATGCCTATGGTGTCTAGTGACTGCAACATAACTGTTTATACCGGCCGCTTGTTTGTTTGCATTTCAGGCTTTGTACGCTTCCAAAATAGTATCCTATGCCCAAGGCTTCATGCTGATGAGGGAGACGGCCAAAGAGCTCAACTGGAGGCTCAACTTTGGTTCCATTGCTCTTATGTGGCGTGGAGGTTGCATCATAAGGAGGTTTGTTGAATTGCTTTCTCTTGTATCACCACACACCATCATAAGGAGGCTCACTGAATTGCTTTCTCTTGTATCACCACACACCATCATACGGAGGTTTGTTGAATTGCTTTCTCTTGTATCACCACACACCATCATAAGAAGATTTGTTAAATTGCTTTCTCTTGTATCACCACACAACCGTCATAAGGAGATTTGTTGAATTGCTTTCTCTTGTATCACCACACACCATCATAAGGAGGTTTGTTGAATTGCTTTCTCTTGTATCACCACACACCATCATAAGGAGGTTTGTTGAATTGCTTTCTCTTGTATCACCACACACCATCATAAGGAGGTTTGTTGAATTGCTTTCTCTTGTATCACCACACACCCTCATAAGGAGGTTTGTTGAATTGCTTTCTCTTGTATCACCACACACCATCATAAGGAGGTTTGTTGAATTGCTTTCTCTTGTATCACCACACACCATCATAAGGAGGTTTGTTGAATTGCTTTCTCTTGTATCACCACACACCATCATACGGAGGTTTGTTGAATTGCTTTCTCTTGTATCACCACACACCATCATAAGGAGATTTGTTAAATTGCTTTCTCTTGTATCACCACACACCATCATACAGAGGTTTGTTGAATTGCTTTCTCTTGTATCACCACACACCATCATAAGGAGGTTTGTTGAATTGCTTTCTCTTGTATCACCACACACCATCACACGGAGGTTTGTTGAATTGCTTTCTCTTGTATCACCACACACCATCATAAGGAGGTTTGTTGAATTGCTTTCTCTTGTATCACCACACACCATCATAAGGAGGTTTGTTGAATTGCTTTCTCTTGTATCACCACACACCATCATAAGGAGGTTTGTTGAATTGCTTTCTCTTGTATCACCACACACCATCATAAGGAGGTTTGTTGAATTGCTTTTTCTTGTATCACCACACACCATCATACAGAGGTTTGTTGAATTGCTTTCTCTTGTATCACCATACAACCATCATAAGGAGGTTCGCTGAATTGCTTTCCCTTGTATCACCACACACCATGTGCTTTTGAACTTTGTTCTTCCTCTGTGCCTTAAGGAAACAGAACTAGAGAGGTTCAAACCTGGCACAACAAAGTTGTTCCTGTCGGCCCTAATAATCATCTGTCATCAGTGGTCTTTGTTTCCAGTCTGGTACTGGGCAAATGTTCATTTTTGTGTTCATAGATGTCCACCTCATTTATAATACATGGCAGATCACCACTGGAACATGTCTATTTCTGACAGTGCTTTCCTTGGTAATATCAAAGAAGCTTATGACAAGAACCCGTACCTGAGCAATCTGCTGGTTGATGAGTTTTTCAAGTCAGAAATGCAGAAATGCCAGGTAAGGAGTTTTACGTTGTAAGCAAGTATTTAGTCAGTGTCTGTCTGCTAGTATTCTTCTTTAATCTTCTGCCTCTGTCAGAATCTTTATGATGTCTGTCTTGTCTCTGTGTTGTCTGTCTTGTCTCTGTGTTGTCTGTCTTGTCTCTGTGTTGTCTGTCTTGTCTCTGTGTTGTCTGTGTTGTCTCTGTGTTGTCTGTCTTGTCTCTGTGTTGTCTGTCTTGTCTCTGTGTTGTCTCTGTGTTGTCTGTCTTGTCTCTGTGTTGTCTCTGTGTTGTCTGTCTTGTCTCTGTGTTGTCTGTCTTGTCTCTGTGTTGTCTGTGTTGTCTCTGTGTTGTCTGTCTTGTCTCTGTGTTGTCTGTCTTGTCTCTGTGTTGTCTCTGTGTTGTCTGTCTTGTCTCTGTGTTGTCTCTGTGTTGTCTGTCTTGTCTCTGTGTTGTCTCTGTGTTGTCTGTCTTGTCTCTGTGTTGTCTGTCTTGTCTCTGTGTTGTCTGTCTTGTCTCTGTGTTGTCTGTCTTGTCTCTCTGTTGTGTCTTGTCTCTGTGTTGTCTGTCTTGTCTCTGTGTTGTCTGTCTTGTCTCTGTGTTGTCTGTGTTGTCTCTATGTTGTCTGTCTTGTCTCTGTGTTGTCTGTGTTGTCTCTATGTTGTCTGTCTTGTCTCTGTGTTGTCTGTCTTGTCTCTGTGTTGTCTGTCTTGTCTCTTTGTTATGTCTTATCTCTATGTTGATTGTCTTGTCTCTGTGTTGTCTGTCTTGTCTCTGTGTTGTCTGTCTTGTCTCTGTGTTGTCTGTCTTGTCTCTTTCTTATCTGTCTTGTCTGTAAGCTTTCTATCTTGTCTCTGTATTGATTTATAACTTCAGGTGCCAGAAGTGTTGTGATAATCCCCTGCATCACATGACATGATGTGATGCAGCCAGTTCCCTTCAACTGATTGTTTCATACAGTTGCCTGGTTCCTATGTCATGTAGCTGGGTTGTCCCCACACAGTTGCGTGGTTCCCATGTCATGTAGCTGGGTTGTCCCCACACAGTTGCCTGGTTCCCATGTCATGTAGCTGGGTTGTCCCCACACAGTTGCCTGGTTCCTATGTCATGTAGCTGGGTTGTCCCCACACAGTTGCCTGGTTCCCATGTCATGTAGCTGGGTTGTCCCCACACAGTTGCGTGGTTCCCATGTCATGTAGCTGGGTTGTCCCCACACAGTTGCCTGGTTCCTATGTCATGTAGCTGGGTTGTCCCCACACAGTTGCCTGGTTCCCATGTCATGTAGCTGGGTTGTCCCCACACAGTTGCCTGGTTCCCATGTCATGTAGCTGGGTTGTCCCCACACAGTTGCCTGGTTCCCATGTCATGTAGCTGGGTTGTCCCCACACAGTTGCCTGGTTCCCATGTCATGTAGCTGGGTTGTCCCCACACAGTTGCCTGGTTCCCATGTCATGTAGCTGGGTTGTCCCCACACAGTTGCCTGGTTCCCATGTCATGTAGCTGGGTTGTCCCCACACAGTTGCCTGGTTCCCATGTCATGTAGCTGGGTTGTCCCCACACAGTTGCCTGGTTCCCATGTCATGTAGCTGGGTTGTCCCCACACAGTTGCCTGGTTCCCATGTCATGTAGCTGGGTTGTCCCCACACAGTTGCCTGGTTCCCATGTTATGTAGCTGGGTTGTCCCCACACAGTTGCCTGGTTCCCATGTCATGTAGCTGGGGGGATTTTGTTGTTGATCAGTTGTGATAATATTTGGGCCAGATGTACAGTATTGCACACTTGTGACAGGAATCATGGAGACGAGTCGTATCCACGGCAGTACTGCTTGGTGTCCCCACCCCAGCCTTCAGCTCAGCTTTGGCGTTCTTTGATGGTTACAGAAGTGCTGACTTGCCAGCAAACCTTATTCAGGTCTGTTTGTCTTGTATTTCTGTCTTGTCTAATTGTTACATTTGTTTTTATTTCCTATTAGTAGAGCATTGATATAAGTAATAACATACTAGGCTTATTAGATTGGACACAATAGTGACAACCCAGTAAGGTATATAGCATCAATTCATTGCTTTAATGACTACTCAAAAGGTTTGACGGAGTCGTGCATGTAGACCTGACAAAAGCACTTGCAGATCTTCAAAATTGTGTGAACTTCCACTAAAAAAAGCATACATTGGAGATAACATGGATATTCTTCTTCTTCTTCTCGTTCACCAGCTGTAAACTCCAGCGGAAAGTTCTGGTTGTTCATCCACTTCTGGACTGCAGTCCTGTTCCAGAACCTGAGTGTTGCGTGTGCATCCATTTGACAGATCTGTAGGCAAACTGTTGGTTCCTTGCCTCTCAGGCAGATGAACTCCGACTTCGAAGGAAGCTCCCAATTAGTCGACTCTGGCGACATGCTTTTGGGTAGGCAGTGGGTCTGTTCTTGTTTTTCCCATAGTAGGGCCCCGGAACCCACAAGGGGAGGATATTGAAGTAAGCCAGTACCAGCCAATCAAAATCAATGTTCAGCTGGAATGTAATATCTCAAGACTATTTACTCCATGTAGTGACAATAATCATTTGAAACACGAGAGGCCAGAGGACAGTGCATTACAAGATATCCAGATGATACTCCATTGAGGGCAGGCAGTGAACAGTCGTGGCTGTTGTTGTAGCAAGGGTTAGAATTCAATTGAAGAAAGCACTGATTGTAATTCTCTCCAGGAAGACAGAAATGACTCACTGAAACATCAGAGTGAAGCACACAGAGCTTAGGGAGACTGGCATCGGATACAGTAGGGGAAACCCACAAATATAAAGGGCAAATTCTTGCATTGAAACCCACAGGGCTGAAGAAATAAAGGGAGACAAACCAGGAAGGAAAGAATGAAATGAAGTAAACATTGAGCACTGTAGGAGATGTGAAGGATAGAACAGCTGGTGAAATCAGTCCCTGGTACTCCTGTGTGGGGTCCAGGGCCCCATTGTGGGGAAAACAAGAATAGACCCACTGCCTCCCCAAAAGCTTGTCGTAAGAGTCGACTAATTGGGGAGCTTCCTTTGAAGTCGGAGTGCATCTGCCGGAGAGGAAAGGAACCAACAGTCTTTATTCAAGAGAATGAGATCTGTAAAACTGATGCACACGCAACACTCAGGTTCTGGAGCGCGACTGCAGTTCAGTAATGGACGAGCAACCAGAACTTTCCGCCAGAGTGTACAGCTGGTGAACGCAAAGGAGAAGAAGTCCCCGATAGTTATGGCCATCCACACCTCAGAAAAGTCAGGAGGAATACCCTGAGACTTGTGGCCACATCTGGCTATCTTCATGGACACAGACCAGGCAGAAAATCTGGATGGCATGAGACAAGAACACAGACCTGTAGCTGAGACAGGTGGTCTTGTCTTGATTGTCAGAATAAATATGTCTACAGAACATAGTGTGAATTCTGTGGCCATTAACCATGTTATCCCAAAAAGCTGTAAAACTGACGCTTCCAGTTAGGTCTGACTCCCTGTAAAGGTTACCTTTCAGACTTGTCCTCAGTGGTTTGTTTACAGGACGCATTGTTAATACTGTTGGCTGAGTTATGTCCTGCGAAAACTTGTATAAGGTCAGGATGTGAATGTTTAAGCTAATAATAGCATTTGGGGTGTTTCCCTCTGAATCAGATAGCTGTTTTAAAGCTTCAGAGGTTCCTGTAAGCCTCAGTGATAGAGGGCACGGCATGAGTCACCTGATACATAAAGTTTTATGTCCCAGGGAATGTATTCCATTTAATACTTCGCTATCGTCATGTTGAGGGGGGGGGGGGGGGGGGGTCTGAAGATAAATACATGTTTATGAAATTTATATTTGTAGCCTGTGAACAATTATGTTGACAGCATCTTTTCTGGGATTCCCACATGGTCATGGCCATATTTGATTGTTTCCGGGTCAGCCAGGTTTTTAAAAGTAATCAAAACCTAACAGTATAAAACATTGAAGAGTTTGCATGGGCTGTTTGCTGGTTAAAAAAAAGCTATCACTTGTTTGTCTACAGGCACAGAGAGACTATTTTGGTGCTCACACCTATGAACGTAAAGATGCCCCAGGTGTTTTTGTGCACACCAACTGGACAGGCAAAGGAGGCACCGTGTCTGCCACCTCCTACACAGCCTAACATTGTTGCTTTTATAGTTCTAAATATATATAATCATTTACTTCTTGCTGTTTGAAAGAATTTTTTTTTATTTCTGAAGAACTTTTAGGAGAGTTTTTAACAGCGATTGCTGTTCTAGATATCATGCATGAATGTTTGCCATTGTCTGAATGTGATTTTGTATGCTGCAAGCCTGCAAAAATATTTGATACAGCCATGAGTATTCATGAAGGACACACATGTCATTGATTGCACATGGATTCCCCAGACAGTCCGAGCAACATGGACTCATTGTTTGTGCAGGTAAGGACACAGATCAGGTTTTAGTAGCTTAATCAAAAGCTACTGTTTCTGTAAGTGTCAAGAAAACTTTTGATCTGTTTGCAAAATTTTTTACTTCTGGTTTTATTCTGAGTCAGATATTTTTCAGAAATACTTCAAATGTTGTATAATCAGGTAGTTTTTTAGTTACATTTTGCTTGTTGTGAAATTGTATGTGTTTGTACGTCAGGCATGGTGGTTGGATTGAACATTGGAATGTTTCTGTCCAGTATCTGGTGCAGATAGTGATTGAACTGAGCATTGTTTGGGTGTCTGTCCAGTTAGAAATGGTGAGACTTTGATAACAGCATGAGGATGGGTTTTAGTGCACATGATAGTATAGATTAGAAAAGATGGGTTCTCTTGTGCATGAACTAGACGTATGGTGATATGAAAACAATAAAGATGAAGTATCTGCAAAGAATCATAAATATCACAAGAATAGATGGGATCAGACATGACTATATCAGGAAACTAGTGGGGATGGAACTAGTGCTGAATTAACATCAAGAGACAACAGATCACATGGTTGGAACATGTGTGAAAGGCTACAGACAGTGTCACTTTGACACACCGGAAGCAGATCTAGAGGTCAAACACACCAGCGATGGGTAGATGGAATATCAGCAGACCTACTCATGAAAAATAGTGACATGATAGAATGTATGATAACCCAAAGACTTGTAGGTTCTGGTTCAGATCTCTTGAATAGATGTTTAAAAATACTGTCAGAAAATCTTCTTGGGAGAAAAGCACGGCAAAGACCTTGATATTTTCACTGCATGACACCGTCGAGACAGATCTGATCTAAGATCATATGAGATAGAATAATTACAAGAATGGAACAGGAGAACAAAGTGATAGAATAATCACAAGAAGGAGCAGAACAAAGTGACTCAATTCATACATATAAAGGGGTTCAATAAAAGTATTTTATTATAAAATAAGCACATCAAGAGTGTGTAGTCTGTTAGTCTTACTTGGTTGTGCATGAACATTAGATTGTTAAATGTCCTGTACCAATGACAGAACTGTTAGTTTGTTCATCAGATAACACAAATGTTAGCATCGATACTCTTACAGTTTCCAGCAGATTGTTAAATGTCCTGTACCAGTGACAGAACTGTTAGTTTGTTCATCAGATAACACAAATTTCAGCATCGATACTCTTACAGTTTCCAGCAGGAATTTCTCAACAACAGGGCTGTGAATATCATGGTATGCCTGTTGATTTGACAGGGTGGGGTTTAGTTAGGATTATCATCATTGCACTTCAGTCATTTTCATAAGTGCTCAGTCTTCTCCATAGTAAAAACTGTGGGTGTGCCGTCTTGATGTTGAGTGGCAAGCCTCCTGTGCTAGGAACTCTACATATAAATAAACCAGATCTGTAACGTTGACGTGCAAGCAAAAACTCCAATTCTGGAACAAGAATAAAAGTGGACAGGTGACCAGAACTTTCTGCCGGGGGTTGACATCTGGTGAGCGCTAAGAAGAAGAGGGTATTCTGTTCTGAAGTGTGCTCCCACATGACAAACTGTCAGTTGGCACATCACAAGACACATTGGATATGGAGCTAAAGAGATATCTCTTGGTTACTCTTCTTCCCAAACACAGACAAACAAATGCCACGAATTGTGAATGCATCATATATGCACTATAGTAAGTACAATCTGTTATTGAGATGTTGAACAACTGAGTGACACTTGTTGAATGCATTTACTATTTTGAGTGTGGCTGTTTTCACATAGACCAATATTTTGTACATGCATAAATATTTGTTCATTTATATATTCAGCACTTTGTCAGGATTTCACGTTTCTTTTGATAAATTAAACATATTTTACCACCTGTAGCATGTGGATAAACTGTGCAGACGTGAGACAAAAATGTTGTTGATTCTGTGGTTGGGTGCATTGTTTGTCTGTGGTTATTCACATGTCATGTTGGGGCTGTTCTGTAAGACTCACTTGTAAACATTTCACATGTCATGTTGGGGCTGTTCTGTAAGACTCACTTGTAAACATTTCACATGTCATGTTGGGGCTGTTCTGTAAGACTCACTTGTAAACATTTCACATGGCTGGCTGTTCAGTAGCAGCTTGAAGTTCTTGCTTTTTTTTTTAACTTCCATTGCATCACTTTTGGTGGCAGACCCTCTCTCTCTTTCCCATTCTTCCACATGAACATTTCCTATATCAGTTGTTAGGCAGCAGACTAAACAGATTACAGTGAATCAAGCGTAGAACTGCAGTCTAGGCAGCAGACTAAACAGATTACAGTGAACTAAGCGTAGAACTACAGTTTAGGCAGCAGACTAAACAGATTCCAGTGAACTAAGCGTAGAACTACAGTCTAGGCAGTGGACTATACAGATTCCAGTGAATCAAGCGTAGAACTATAGTCTAGGCAGTAGACTAAACAGATTCCAGTAAATCAAATGTAGAACTACAGTTTAGGCAGTAGACTAAACAGATTCTAGTAAATCAAATGTAGAACTATAGTCTAGGCAGTAGACTAAACAGATTCTAGTAAATCAAATGTAGAACTATAGTCTAGGCAGTAGACTAAACAGATTCCAGTAAATCAAATGTAGAACTACAGTTTAGGCAGTAGACTAAACAGATTCTAGTAAATCAAATGTAGAACTATAGTCTAGGCAGTAGACTAAACAGATTCTAGTAAATCAAATGTAGAACTATAGTCTAGGCAGTAGACTAAACAGATTCCAGTAAATCAAATGTAGAACTATAGTCTAGGCAGTAGACTAAACAGATTCTAGTAAATCAAATGTAGAACTACAGTTTAGGCAGTAGACTAAACAGATTCTAGTAAATCAAATGTAGAACTATAGTCTAGGCAGTAGACTAAACAGATTCTAGTAAATCAAATGTAGAACTATAGTCTAGGCAGTAGACTAAACAGATTCCAGTAAATCAAATGTAGAACTATAGTCTAGGCAGTAGACTAAACAGATTCCAGTAAATCAAATGTAGAACTATAGTCTAGGCAGTAGACTAAACAGATTCCAGTAAATCAAATGTAGAACTACAGTTTAGGCAGTAGACTAAACAGATTCTAGTAAATCAAATGTAGAACTATAGTCTAGGCAGTAGACTAAACAGATTCTAGTAAATCAAATGTAGAACTATAGTCTAGGCAGTAGACTAAACAGATTCTAGTAAATCAAATGTAGAACTATAGTCTAGGCAGTAGACTAAACAGATTCTAGTAAATCAAATGTAGAACTACAGTTTAGGCAGTAGACTAAACAGATTCTAGTAAATCAAATGTAGAACTATAGTCTAGGCAGTAGACTAAACAGATTCTAGTAAATCAAATGTAGAAACTATAGTCTAGGCAGTAGACTAAACAGATTCTAGTAAATCAAATGTAGAACTATAGTCTAGGCAGTAGACTAAACAGATTCTAGTAAATCAAATGTAGAACTACAGTTTAGGCAGTAGACTAAACAGATTCTAGTAAATCAAATGTAGAACTACAGTTTAGGCAGTAGACTAAACAGATTCTAGTAAATCAAATGTAGAACTATAGTCTAGGCAGTAGACTAAACAGATTCTAGTAAATCAAATGTAGAACTACAGTTTAGGCAGTAGACTAAACAGATTCTAGTAAATCAAATGTAGAACTATAGTCTAGGCAGTAGACTAAACAGATTCTAGTAAATCAAATGAAGAACTATAGTCTAGGCAGTAGACTAAACAGATTCTAGTAAATCAAAGTAGAACTACAGTTTAGGCAGTAGACTAAACAGATTCTAGTAAATCAAATGTAGAACTACAGTCTAGGCAGTAGACTAAACAGATTCTAGTAAATCAAAGTAGAACTACAGTTTAGGCAGTAGACTAAACAGATTCTAGTAAATCAAGAGGTGAGGCAACAATGCTGATGTAAACCTGATTACTAGAAAGTCTGGAGTGCACAAACTAATTTGGCTGAGGGTCTGTAGCCACAGAGGGGACACAAGGCAAGATACAAGACAGGGGGGATACAAGGCAAGAGACAAGACAGGGGGGATACAAGGCAAGAGACAAGACAGGGGGGGGACACAAGGCAAGATACAAGACAGGGGGGATACAAGGCAAGAGACAAGACAGGGGGGATACAAGGCAAGAGACAAGACAGGGGGGATACAAGGCAAGAGACAAGACAGGGGGGATACAAGGCAAGAGACAAGACAGGGGGGATACAAGGCAAGATACAAGACAGGGGGGACACAAGGCAAGATACAAGACAGGGGGATACAAGGCAAGATACAAGACAGGGGGGATACAAGGCAAGATACAAGACAGGGGGGACACAAGGCAAGATACAAGACAGGGGGGATACAAGGCAAGAGACAAGACAGGGGGGATACAAGGCAAGATACAAGACAGGGGGGACACAAGGCAAGAGACAAGACAGGGGGGACACAAGGCAAGAGACAAGACAGGGGGGATACAAGGCAAGAGACAAGACAGGGGGGATACAAGGCAAGAGACAAGACAGGGGGGACACAAGGCAAGAGACAAGACAGGGGGGACACAAGGCAAGAGACAAGACAGGGGGGACACAAGGCAAGATACAAGACAGGGGGGACACAAGGCAAGAGACAAGACAGGGGGGACACGAGGCAAGAGACAAGACAGGGGGGACACGAGGCAAGAGAAGACAGGGGGGACACAAGGCAAGAGACAAGA